ACTTATAGAGCTCATGGCCGGATTAATCCATATATGAGCTCCCCCTGCCATATTGAGATGATCCTTACTGAAAAGGAACAAATTGTTCCCAAACCAGAAGAGGAGGTTGCACAGAAGAAAAAGATATCCCAGAAGAAACTGAAGAAACAAAAACTTATGGCACGGGAATAAATTAAGCATAAAATAAATGCAAATAAAATTAAAAAAAAAGATTTACTTGGGACATTTAAATTTAAAGATATTTAAAAGAAATACCCAAAGTGACTTTTAAATTTGTAAAGTTTTCTTATTCTCCCTTTTAAATGAAAATTGAGGCAAAAGTCAAACATAGTAAAATGCACAGACTTTATGAATACAGCCTAATCTGTTGTGATAAATGTTTAAAGTTATATATTTTGTAATAAGAAATAAAACATTTTTTCACTTCAAAAAGTAGATACTTTTCTTTAGAAGCAGCCAATGATTTATTATTATTGACTAGTTCTCTACTATAGAGCTCCATTTAAATGGAATCATAAAAAATGGAGTTGTTTTGCCTATTTTCTTTCATCCAGCATGTTTCTGGAAGCTATTTATAACATTACAAGTATCTTGTTCCTGAGCGGAATGCCATATTTGAATGTTCTATTTTGTTTATTCAGTTGCTTGTTCTAAACACCTAGACTGTGGTGACCTTTCTTTAAATATATATTTTCTAAGAATTTTTGTGAAAGTACATTTCAATTTCTCTTAGATAAAGATCTAGAATTGGAATTGCTGAATTATAGAGAGGTGGTATATTTAATTATTTTTGTCTGATTTTTCTATCCGTTCACCCTAAGCAATGTATGGGAGCTCTGGTTGCTCTAGATCCTCACAAAAATATTGAATTCACAGTAGATTAGGCAGAACTTCATCTCAAATATTCTTGGTAAATAATGTTGACATGTTTTCCATACCTCATCAATTTCATCAACAAATTTTTTTAGATGTTTAACGAAACTGTTAAGATTTATGCATTTGTATTTAAACCTTGCTAATATATTTATCGACTGCTAATTAAGTTAATTGGTAAAGTTAGAGACTATTCCACAGCTCCCCACTGAAATTAACATGCTATTTTGTCTGGTAAAAGCTGAAAATTGGCTAAAATGAAAATCAACGACTTCCATTTTGAAGATAGTTATTAATACTGTTTTTGTTACAGTTTTGGGCACAGCACATTAAAACAAAATTTGCATTGTTTTAATATGTAACATAAAGGGCCAGGTTATAAATAATTATATTATAATGGGCTTTTGCACTGCTATTATTTTTCCTTTGAAATGTGAAGGTCTGAATGAGGGTTTTGATTTTGAATGTTTCAGTGTTTTTGAGAAACCTTGCTTACATTTTATGGTGTAGTCATTGGAAATGTAAAATGGCATTAATATCTATCTATCTATCTATCTATCTATCTATCTATCTATCTATATATCTCATACTCTTCTTTATTTCAGTTACCATCCCCATAGGATTTGATAAGAATTGCTACTACTGAAAGATTTTCAAGTCCTAATTAAAATTTTTATTTATGACAGTATTCATAATTAGCCTGAAATGTATTCTATTGTAATTTCTCCTGAATTTCTGGAATGTGTTTTTAGACTTTTTGTATGTGCAGCAGCTTACATGTCTGAAGTTACTTGAAGGCACCACTTTTAAGAAATCTTACAGATGGGCCCTGTACCATCCCAAATCCTCTGTAATTCTTCTTGGATATTTTTGCCAAAATTATAAAAGGGTAGTTGAATAGCATCACCATTCTTTGCTGTGGCACAGGTTATAAATTTAAGTGTTTAACAGCAGCATCAAATGCTTCAGCTTTTAAAAAGCAGGGTATAAGTTTTATGTTTAGTTCTAGAAAATTTGTGCAATATGTTCATAATGATGGCTATGGCCACAAAGTGCCTCATTTACCTTTAAATACATTAATGTGTCATGCATGCAGATGGAAGGGGTGGAACTGTGCACTCAAGTGGAGGCTTTAATTGTACTATTTGGCAGAGCTGCTTTCTTTCTGCTGGTTCAAAAGTTCAATCTGTTTTCATATAGAATATATATACTAAAAATTTTCAGTCTGTTAAACAGCCTTACTCTGATTCAGCCTCTTCAGATATTCTTGTGCAGCAGTGGCTCTGGGTGTAAATACTATGCACGGAGGATACACATACATACACACAGATGCACAGACACACACACACACACACACACACAAAACAATGCAGACAGGATAATGCCTCATACCAATCAGTTGTCCATTTGCTACTGTGTTAACAACGCTTTATCTCTTAGTGTTATAAACTCCACTTAAAACTGAAAAAAAATTGAATTCACAAAGAAAATTTTTCATTTTAGCTATTGTAATATAGTTTATCCTGGGAGCTTCAACTTGTATTTTCTTTGAAGTAAGGTAATTGACCACTTTTTTCAGATACTTTTTGAATATATGTATATTTTTGTACTGTTTTATTTATTTTTGTCTAAATTATACAAAAAGACCTCTTAAAATGTTTACAACATTTCAAACACACTTCTCATATGACTTTGATTAGGAACTCTAAACTAAAACAGGAAAAGAAAAGACATATAAAGATATTTCCAAAACCCAATTTTTGAAAATTAATTTTGAGATATTTCAAAGAATTTGAAATATTCCTCATTTCATCCACCACTAAGCCCATGACTTATTTTGCTTGGATAATAGACTCTTGAAAGTAAATGTTTTCTTGGAATAATTCTGGTTTCTCGTGGCTTACTCCAAGATGCCAATGCTGAGAAAATAAACATTTATTTGGTTGTGTTTTAAAATATTCTTTTATTAAAAAGGAAAGAAGCAAAAGACAAAAGCAGAGAGAAAGGAATGTATGAAGGAAATTTCAAAGTCTTATAGCAAAATGGAATTGGATATTACTGGTTTCTCAGTTTGCTGGATAAATCCCTGAGACTATTTGTTTCAACAGGTTCAGTAACCTGGTAAATTATACATTATTTGGATATTATTTGCTCCCTCAAGTATTTCCTTCAATTTAACTTGGTCCTACTGACTTTTTCATGAAAGAATTTATCTGATGACTAATTTAGATTGACAGGTTTTGCTACAGGAAATAATGAAAAATGAGAACAGATTACTAAAGGGGAGGGTCTTTAGTGCAGGCATTTGACTCTAAGGCCCAACCTACTCAGGCCACACCTGCATCTCACCCTTTTCCCTTACAGACCCAACCTGGCCCTGCCCTTCCCATTAAATAGATGGTGTTAAGCATGTCAAATCATGGTATTGGAAGTTGAGAATTCCACTTCAAATACAGTTTTGAAAGATTAAATAATAGCATGTCATGATGTTTGCATTCTTTTAATCCTAAGCGAGTCGGGGAATCAAAGCGGTCTAACAGATACTGGAACTGTTAGGATAGAACTTGGGAAGAATTAAACAGTCATGAGTGAGCAGAAGCATTTGGAGTTCTTGCTGATCCCACTTATTCATGACCTTTCTCTCCAGTTAGCAGTTAATAAAGAGCTGACATTTAAAGTCTTTTTCTTGCTTGAGAAAAAAATAGTAGCCCTTATGTAAAAGTATTGGAAATACTGTACACATGATAATGCCCAAATAAATCTACTAGAACTATAAATAAGTATAATTA